ACCTTTTATGCCTACAAATATTTCTACCCATTAACATTATGATACGTGTCATCATTTCATCTTTCAATTTAATTTTATTTTATATATTCCTAATATCCTCTTAATGAGATAGTTAAATAAATATGAAATGATGACACATATTATAATTTTAATTGGTACGGATATTTAAACGCATAAAAGGTAAGAAGCAATTTAATTTCTCATAGTTATAAAAAACGTGTGATTTGGATTTGAGTTAAATGTTTTATTACTTTTGTCTTGTCAAATACTATTTTAATTAGTTGACGTATTAAAAGGTCTCTCGCCTAACAGTAAAAATTGACTCTTTCAAATGAAAAGTCATTAGCTTAAGTCTAACTATAAGATATAGATGATGTTGAGGACCGGATTAGATTGGGTATATGATAGTTGTGTTAATAATAATAAAAAGAAATAATAGTTGACGTGAGAAAAAATTATTAAACAACACATAAAATGAAATTTCATTTTCTTTTAAAAGAAGAACACAAAGACTATTATTTGGAATAAAATTCACATTTCAAGACAAGGACAAAAGTTATCCAATATACCCAAAATTCCCCACAACCTTTTTACCAAATTTCAAGAACCCGTGACCTGTTCTGCCATAATAAATACATTCCCCCTCGACAGATTTCACGTGCCAAACTGTCACATATTTGCAATAAACATCCCTGTACAATACTAATTCTTCTCATTTACATCCTTCTGATCTACAAAATTTTTATCTTTCACAGATATTTTAAAGCAAAAAATATTTTTCAAAACCATTTTTTATAGAATTTCTTACTTTAAATTTTCATACACCGAACACATTTCATATTTCTTACTTAATGTTTTAACAAAAGCTTTTATTAAATAAAACTTGTTATAAATATATTTATTTATATAATAAGTTTAATGGATTAATTAACAATGATAAATATATTATTACAAATATAAATATAATGATAAATATATTATTACAAATATAATGTTTTCTTACGGATCACCAAACAGTTTCTAATATTATTTACAAATATAAATCAGCAAAATCGTTCTTTCAAGGTCCCAAATTTTATATTTTCAAAGTGTAACATCATCGTCACAAGGAAGACAACGTCAAATCGTTACAAGGACCACCCCGCATAATATCCCTCCTCGTACGTTATATAATATATATACCAGTATCAATCGCCGATTGCCAGCTCATCAACACGTGAATGACAGCTTGGCGTAAAGTGGGGGCCCACATATGTCAAAATTTCCATCTAATTAGCTGGAATTTCTATAAAAAATGATTTCAACATGTATATGTATATTTTTTTGGGTCTTTGAAGATTGAAGAATGAAGAACCTATTCGAGTTTCTCAGATAATGCATTGAGGATCTGCCATGTGGCATCACCAACTTCCACGTCATCGTGGAAGAGGAGTCCTCGCTGGACGGTTGGATCCCACAGGTTTCGCTGGATGACTGACAGGTTCGTGGCTGCCACGTAATCAAGTATTCTGCCAAGCTTCCCGACGTCCCTCTCCGCCACCGTGAGAGATATCTCCGACCAAGGCACGGCAGTTTCGAACGGCAACCGGATGCCATCAGCAATGATCACCGGGATGCAACCCAACGCAATTGATTCCACAAGTCTTGGACTCCACGGGGCCCACCCGAGTGGGCACAAGCAAAACACCGACCGTACGATTTCCGACAGATAACCGGCGAACCGGTTTCTTCTCAGGTAGAACCGCCGGTCGTTCCGGTACTTCCGCAGTATCTCCGTCCTCACGCGCCTGTAAATGGTATATTTGGATTAGGCATTAGGGGCAATTTCGTCACCACAGAAACGAGAAGAAGTCAATTTGATGATAAATGGGAATTTATTATTAGTTATTACTTGCTGTAGAATTGACCGCTAACGTTCTTAGGGTGGACTTCCATTTTTCCCCGGAAAAACGCGAAAATATCCCGCCGGCCAGTGATCGGTGACATTGACAGTACAGACTGAACTTTCTCCGGCGATACGTAGGGTGGGATGACGATATTCTCAACATCTTGACAAGGGTGGTGGTATCTAACGCCGAATGTTTGTAAGACAATCGAATTCCTCATAAACTCCGGTATGCCATCGGTGATGGCTTTATTTTCCTAATACATCGAAGAAAATCAAATTTTCATACAAGCCAATGATTAATTGAAGATGAGCAAACTGAGATCATCGAATTTTTGAAAGTTCCGTGTTACCATGGAGTGGAAACATGCTCCGAAGTCATGAGAAGCGACGAACACGTGATCGGAACCATTACTCCTGTTCCAGAAAGGAAACTCCGATGAAATTAATTCAACTGCAGACGATAAAAGCCCACGTGCATGTCCGATGGCGGGGAAGCCATTAACGGTGCTGAAGTTGCAGGAAACATAAACCGGCATGAAGAAGAAGTCGGCCACCGCTGGATCAAACGTCCGTACGTTGCTTTTAATCAATGCTTTGTGTATCGCCACCTCCGACGCAAATAAATGGTTGCTACATCGCTTGTTCGACAGCCAATCACTATTGTATTTCGATGGCAATTCGTATATATACACTCTCAAATCCTTCAAAGATCTGGGTTGCCGGAGAATTGCGGCGTCTGAGAAAACACCGGAGACTGAACGTAGTTGTGGTTGAGGAATTATAGTTTTTAACGACGTGGTCGCCGGACGATGGTTGCCGAGAGACGTAGCAAAGAAGTATAAGGAGAGAGAAAACCAGAGAATCCATTTGAAGTATCGAAAGCGAAAGGGCGTCTTTGTTTTTCCATGTCTACTCCTTAAAAGCTTCATCCTCGCGTAGAATTCCTTCCTGTTCCTTGCCGATCCAAAAACCTCCATTTTTTTAAATCTTTATCTTGAATCAATCAAGAACAAGAACAATAACTGGTGATTGCTGCTAGTTTCATGTCAAGGAAAAGGAATTCATTGCTGGTTGAAGAAGTAGAAATCAAGAAACCCAAAATTGAATGTTTCAATCAAAAAGATCAATCAAACAAGAACGATTTTTGGATTGAATAGTCATCTCGAATTTGAAAGATGATTAAGAAGAAGTAAAACCATCCATGGAGGATGATGTTCTTGCAGGGTCAGAAATTCAGACAGAGAGATGAGAATTCATGAAAATGACTGAAATGTCTTCAAGTTGGGATGAACAAAGGAAGTATAGCTTGAGGGGTAGAGTTGTAACGAACAAATTGAAAAATGGCAATGTGAGGAAAGCGAGAAAGAAAGTGGAAACTGAAAAGGGAGTAGGCGTATATTTGGTGAAGCATGAAAAATAAAAATGGGATATATACATTAAAAACTTAATATTTTCAACCGTTTGATAAAAAAAACCTAATATTTTCAATGATTTGATAAGAAAATATTAATTTTTTTTATAGTAAAATCTTAATTACACACAATTTTTGATATTTTTATCTTTTTTTCCGGTAAACTGGTAATTAGGAAATTTTTGTCAAAAATATAAAGTTTAGGATTTTCTTGTTAAATCGTAAATTAGGATTTTACTAGTCAAAAAAATAAAGTTGAGGACTTTTTTGTCAAATCATTAAAAATATTAGGACTGTAGTGTATATATCCTCTTTTTGGTTATAAATTTAATGGTATGATACTCTTTAAACATAAAAATGATTAAAACATTCCCTAATCAGCTAGATCCTATTGAAATCCTTAAAATTTGCTTCTTGTTAAAAAGTTAATTTAATCTCAACAAACCGACATTGAAAAAATAGAGATAATCAAGAAAGAACCAGAGTTGTGTTGACTTTTTGCAGCACCAAAAATGGAGACTAAGAAACTGAAAAAAAAAAAAAAAAACAAAACAAAATTGCCCTTCGTACCCTTTCTCCACATTCACACCCTTTTGACTAGCCATGTGTTGTTTGTGTTTGTATAATCTGCCCCCACTTTTTAGTTCAAAATTTGGCGGTGAAGCAAGAAGAAAGTTTTAGGGTAAATTACATTGTTGGTCCCTCGTGCACATGCCAAAAAGCATGTTTAGTCTCTATTTCCAAAATTTAACTCGTGCAGTCCCTCATTGTTATTTATCTTGCACGGTTAGTCCCTATGCACGTTAACTGTTAAATCCTTCCGTTTAAGCTACCTACGTGCCTTGCACGCAGGGACATTTTCGTCTTTTCAGGGTTTGTATACATGAACCAATATGGCATGACTTCGATAACCGATCATTTCTCATTTCATCCTCCGTAGACCCTTAGCATTGCACAAGAAAACCCTAGTTTTCTACGATGGTGAACTGGAGGATTAGGCAAGAATGGGAGGAATACGATCTCCAAAGCTCATACGGTAAAATTTTCTACATTTTCGGTTGATCATCCATTATATGTTCCTAAAACGTAATATTTTTTTTGGGTTCGCAGCTGACAATCCATTTATGTTCTCGATACGATTGAACTATGGTGGAGTTTTTACGAAGTTTCCAGGCCGCAAATACATAAAGGGGAAGATGAAATATATTGATGGCATTGATAGTGACTTGTTCTCGGTGCATGATATGGACGAGATAATGGAATTGCTTGATTGTGTAGAACCAGGTAAAAGTATTTACTATCATTTCAAACGACCAACCTGGGATTTAGATTTTGGGTTGTATGCTTTGGGCTGTGATGAAGATGTAAACCACTTTAGGTCATACGTTTATGAACACAAGGTGATAGAAGTGTATACAGAGTTTTGGGAAACCAAGCTGCATACGTATCAAATGTCCCCAAACCCTACAAAGATAAAGATACACGAAATTCCTGAGTCCCTTTGTCGTAAAAGCTTGTTATTGACATGGTCAAATTCAGGGGATTGTCCTAGTGAAGAAGCCCCTGTTTTTTAGAATGTAGAAACTATGGACGAACCCCTAATACATTACTTGAAACAAACAACCCCTTGTTACATTGAGTGAAACAGTTGAGTCAACCCCTGCCTATATACCAAGAATTGAAAGCCCTTTGACTGAAACAATGATAGGAAGCACATGTCCTAATGTTGATGGTTGGGATGATACATTTGAATGGTGTGAACCTTTTGGTGAGACTCCTATGGAACAAGATGAACCAAATAGTGAAAAAGTAGGTGAAGACAGTCAAGCTAGTAAAGACAGTCATGATAGTGATGACAATGAAGATAGTGAAGACAGTCAAGATAGTGATTACATAGTTGATGAAGATAATTTGTTAGATGATCTAGAGGTTGATATGAAGAACTTTCACCTCAACATTTACAAAGAGGTGGAGTGGGTTGGAAGTTTTCCTGATGATCGAGATGAAACAGTAGAAGGTGATGAAGAATTAGAGGTTATAAACACCGAAGAATTTATATTTGCATCTTCATCAGATGAGGGTGAAGCTAGTAAAAAAAGGAAGAAGATAAGAGATTTACAAAGAGCACATAAGAATGAAGCAGCGGCTGTCAAAGATCCGTTTTACATCCACCAGACTTTTAGCACAGCCAAGGAAGTTAAACAACAAATTTATCTTCATTCCATACAGAGTAGAAGGGAGTTAGACTTTGTCAAGAATGACAAAAACAGGATTAGAGTGGTTTGCAAAGGGACAATACCAAACCTTGGGATATTAGAAACAGGTGGGACCAGCAAAAGTAATGACAAAGTGGGACCCGGTCAAAAGAAAAAGAAAGTGAAAGATGGTTCTATTCATAAATGCCCATGGGTCCTACTAGAGAGTAAGTGGAAAAAAGACATTAACTGGACTGTTAAGACCTATGAAAAGCAACATACATGCCTTCAAACAAGGAAAATTAGGGCGTGCAACTACAAATTTCTCTCTGAACAGATTGTTGACACAGTGGAGGAAAACCAAGAAATACCACTTAGAGCATTACGTGAGATGCTTGAGAAGAAATACCAAGTTGGATTGTCAGACATGAAAGTTCATAGGGCGAAAACGAAAGCCCTGGAATCAATTAGGGGAGATTTTGCTGCTCAGTACTCATGTCTAAGAGACTACTTACAGGAGGTGCAGAGTAGAAATCCAAACACCACAGTCAAACTTCAAGTGCAAAGTGAACCATGTTATGCATTTGAGACCAGGGTATTTGAACGAGTATACATTTGTCTTGGTCCACTGAAAAGTGGATTTGCAGCAGGGAAAAGAGATTTACTAGGGCTTGATGGTGCATTCATGAAGGGTCCATACCATGGTATGATCATGACAGTAGTGGTATGTGCATAATCATATTTTAGTATTTGATTAATGTTTGACCATAGTTAATTGTTTGCTTATTACTATGTTTGACATGATAATTCAGGGTTTAGACGGGAACAATTGCACATACCCTATGGCATATGCAGTTGTTGAAGCAGAAAACATTAATTCATGGACTTGGTTTTTAACTAACTTAGGAGATGATCTTGGTTTGTATGCAAACTCCAACTTCACTTTCATATCAGATAGACAGAAGGTAAATAAAGTTCTCCGTTCATTTTCACCTGCATGTTTTACAATTCAATAAGCAACTTCACTCTTTTGATGATTTAGGGGTTATTGCATGCACCTGAGAAACTTTTCCCAGCAACAGAGCATAGATATTGCCTAAGGCATCTTCATGAGAACATGAAACATAAATGGAGGGGCAAGGAATTCAAGGATTGTCTTTGGAAATGTGCAACATGTACCACCATACCACAATTCAACAGTGCCACGGAAGAACTAAAGAGACTTAACAGTGAAGCATATGACTGGCTTAATTCTATTCCACCTAAGCACTGGTCCAGATCCCACTTCTCATGTATATACTATTATGTTTATAAGTGTATAATTTTTAAATATAATCTAATACAGTTGTGTTTTATTAGGGAGGGCACATTGTGATGCTTTGTTGAATAATATGTGTGAGAGTTTGAATAGCAAGATAGTGAAGGGTCGTGATAAGCCAATTATCAGTTGCTTGGAGTTTATTAGGGAGTATATCATGAGGAAAATTTTCATGGTTCAAAAAGAAATTGACAAAGCTAATGGCCCATTAACTCCTATAGCCACTAAGACCCTTGAAAAAATTAAAGAAAGGGCAGTACAGTGTAGGGCAGTGTTCTGTGGCAATGGGAAGTACCAGGTTACAAGTGAAGGTACTAATCAGTATGTGGTTAATATGGACCAACAAACTTGTTCATGTAACAGGTGGGAACTGACAGGTATACCCTGCAAACATAGTATAGCAGCTATATGGGATATGAGGCTCAACAATGAAAATGTTGGAATACCTGAGACATGGGTACACCCAACTTATTGGCTCAAGACTTGGAAAGAAATGTATGTCTTCAAAGTTGAACCTATTAATGGGAGGTTTTTGTGGGAAAAAAGCACATGTCCTACCAAGTTGATACCACCAAAGTATCGCGTCCCTATTGGCAGACCAAAAAAAAGAGAAGAAGATCTGCAACAGAAGATGATGGAGTATCCACAAAATGGAAATCTGTAACATGCACAAAATGTGGAAATGTGGGCCATAATGGAAGGACCTGCAAGGGACAATCACAGACTATGAATGGAACAGGAGAAGGTGCAGCAGGTAGCAGTGGTGGTGTACAAAATGGAGTTGGGAACAAAGGAAAAAGCCCCATGCTTTGAGAATTTGTAGTTTGGTATCATGATCATGAAGGATACTATGCTTTTGTTAGGCATTTATTGCCATATTACTTTGTTGTTATGTTTTGTATTTTGATACTTTGTTGCTGTCTAGGATAACTATTTGTATGCCATAACACTATGTTGTTATTTTGGATGTCCCTTTATGTTAATGGTCAATGGTTATCTTGGATATTTTAATTTTTGTCCTTTTTATTGTTATATTGGATGCTACATGTATTGAATGGTATATTGCATATGTTGTAAATACCACATTTTCATTAAATTTGAACACCAACTGATAACACCACATTATGATTACACAACATATTGTAAATAAAATTGAAGTTTTTTTGTTAATACAAATAACATTACAAAATACACATACCAAAATACTAACAACTTCATTACTAAACCTACACTTTATATATAAGGATTGAAACAAAAAAAAAAAAAAAAAAAAAAAAAAAAAAACCCCAGCTAATAACTAGGTAAAGCTTCAATTTGCGATTTTGTTCTTCAAGTTTCATCCTAAACGCCATACAATCACAGTCCTGATCATAATCATTCACCGATCCTATGAGCTTGCATAATGGTACTTGAACCAATTAAAGAAGATGAAGAATTAGGGCGAAATTAGAGAAGATGAAGAACGAAATTGAAATCATTAACCTTACCTTTACTGTACAAGCATAATAGAGTTTCCCAGGGTTTCTTTTGCTATAAGATGTGTGAATCACTGCAGTGGGTCCACAATTGCATTTAATATCGATCATTGTTATCTATTTGGAAGAAATCGATCGAACGAGGGGAAGAGACGAACGAGAGGATAGCAGAGGAAAAGAGGATTGCAGTGTTTTATAAGATTTAAGGTGTAACGGCATTAAGAATGGACACAAACCCTGAAAAGACGAAAATGCCCCTGCGTGCAAGGCACGTGGGTAGCTTAAGCGGAAGGATTTAACAGTTAACGTGCATAGGGACTAACTGTGCAAGATAAATAACAACGAGGGACTGCACGAGTTAAATTTTGGAAATAAGGACTAAACATGCTTTATGGCATGTGCACGAGGGACCAACGGTGTAATTTACCCAAAGTTTTATAAGTCTTTTTCACTCTTTCCCGCTCTCTCTTTTGCATATCTTTCTTCTGATCGTGATTGTATTAGGTTAAAGATGACAATTGTAAGAAAAATAGTGGTGCTGCAACAAAAGTCACAATTAAAAGTTCTTGAGTTACGAAAATACACTAAAGTCTCATTATTTTCAACGATTTGGCAAAAAAAATCCTAAAATTTTTTTTTTTTGATAGTAATGTCCTAAAATTATATATATATATATATATATATATATATATATATATATATATATATATATTATATATATATATATATATATATATATATATATATATATATAGGTTTAGGTTCTATGGAAAACAAAAAACCCTAAAAATCATAAAAATGCATAAAAAAATACTTAGAGATCACAACACTTTTTTTTGAATTTTTTTTATAAAAAATCGCAGCTTTTAATAAAAATTCGCTGAAAAAAAAATAAAAAATAATTTTTTTTTATAAAAAAAAAGTTTTTTTTTTCAAATTTTTTTTTTCAGCGATTTTCTTTAAAAAGCTATGATTTTTTCTTAAAAATGTCAAAAAAAAGTTTTGTGATCTCTAGGTATTTTTTTTTATGCATTTTTATGATTTTTAGGGTTTTTTTAGGGTTGTTTTGTTTTCCAAATAACCTTTCCCTATATATATATATATATATATATATATATATATATATATATATATATATTATATATATATATATATATATATATATATATATTCTAACATTTTACACAAAAACTAAGGGGTGTTTGATTGGTAAAATTAACTTATATTCATTTATAAAAATTGTTTATTAATTTATTTGGTGTTATGGTGTACCTCCAACAGCATATTGACTAATGTCATACAGTATGGAGTAGCTTTTTACAAGTAACGGTTTATGTGAAACGGATGTTCAAGCGTAAACACCGCCCCACAGTGGCATAAATGTGATGTGGATCGACTACTATCATGGGTTGTCACACCCAATGGAATCCTTTTATCTCAAAACGGTGAAAAATACCACTATTGAACGCATTTTATGTATATAAAAAAATTAATTTTCAAATTTAAAGCAAACAGGTACATTAGGCCTCAGTGAGTGGCCGATGTTTCATGTCGCGGTTTTGCCATGTGTACTGCGCACACTGCCCATGACCGTGGTCTCCTATGGTTTAGGTAGCAGTGTGACGCGCCCTGCATTGCGATTGGTTGGTGGGGAAAGTACGTTGAACGTTCAAATTTTTGAACATTTAATTTTTTTTCTTTGCCTTTTCCTTTCTTTCCTATAAATTATACTATACACTTCATTATTTTTCAAACAAAAATCACCATACTCTCTCAAAATTAATAGAAAAAAAATTCATCAATCTCTCTCAAAATGTCATCTTCTTCATCTTCTGAAGAAATTCAAGTTATTTTTGATGCACCTGTTGCGTGTGCACAAATGGCAGAACAAACATATGATGCTTTATGCAATAACGCAGCTGAAAGTTCTCAATGCAGAACATGAAGATATATTTTTAGAAATCCTGAAGAAGCCAACCAACGTTTGATACAAGACTACTTTCAAGAGAATGTCACTTATCAAGGGTACTATTTTCGTAGACGATTTAGAATGTTCAAACGTTTATACGAACGTATAGTTGAAGATGTAACGAGAGAGTGCAGTTTTTTTACAACAACGTTACAATGCTAGAGGTACACCCGGTTTCACTCCCTTACAAAAATGCATGGCCGCACTTCATCAATTAGCATATAGCATTACGCATGATGTGTTGGACGAGAGTTTTAGGATGTCTGCTAGGACCGCACGAGACAGTCTCCACTATTTCTGCAAAATGTGATTTAGTTTTATGTTTCAAAATATTTACGTAAGCCTACACGTAATGACATCTTACAATTGCAAGCTCATCATGCTAGTGTGTATGGGTTTCCTAGAATGCTAGGAAGTTTAGATTGTCTCCATGAGGCATGGGAAAATTGTCCTACCTCATACCATTAGCAATTTACCCGAGGTGATTATGATCACGCAACGGTCATACTTGAAGCAGTTGCATCACAGGATCTGTAGATTTGGCATGCTTTTTTTGGTTCTCCTGGTTCGATTAAAGACATCAACATTCTTAATCGTTCACCTATATTTAACAACATATATGATGGATCTGCATCATATTCTTCTTTTGAAGTGCGTGGAACGCCATATAAGTACGGTTATTATCTAGTCGATGGAATCTATCCTGAGTATGTTGTGTTTGTTAAATCGTTTACGTGTCCATATGGTTCTACACGAAAAAAATTCAAGAGAGCTCAAGAAAAAGCTAGGAAGCATGTCGAGCGTGCTTTTGGAGCTCTTAAGAAACGTTGGTTTATATTGAAAAAACCAGCAATTTGTTTTTGCGAGGAAAAACTTTAAGAAATCATGTATACATGTCTCATATTGCATAACATGATTGTTGAAGACGAAGGAAGAGCGATATGCCCGTTTGAAGAGGAAGAAACCATACCGAGACACAACCAATAGAAATTGGTGGCGAAGAGTATATAAACAGGAGAGCAGAGATACGTTGCACTTAAACATTCCACAATCTTCTCACAGACTTGGTGGAACATATTTACTGAATTCAACACATTAACCTTAATTTAGATCCCCCGGCTGAGTCGGAAGACGAGTTCATTGAGAACAAGTTTATGTAGTATGCTTTAGTTATTTTATTTTTGTATTTTTTAAGTTTCTAGGATTTTTTTAATGTCATGTGTGTGTTTTTTTTATTAATGCAATGTAATGTTTTTTTAATTTTCAAGTAATGAAAAATTATGTTTTTTTTATTAAAAAAAATAAGTTTTATTAAATTAAAATAGTTAAAAAATAATAATAATAATGTGTGGCACCACTCCTTAAGTGTAGCAAGAAACCACACTTGTGGGGTAAAAAATAATATGGCGTACATGTGGCAGTGAAGGGAGTGCGGTTTCGGTGGCACAACTCCCTCTAGCCTTATAAATACCAACACTTTTATAACCATTTCATACCTCAAAACCACTCAAATCTCCCCCCCCCCTCCCTCTCTCTCTCAATATATATATATATATATATATATATATATATATATATATATATATATATATATATATATATATATATATATATATATATATATATATATATGTAACACCGTAAAATTAAGACAATTTTTCGCTTTTTAAAACCATTTAAATTCATTTATAATCACTTCCAAGAAAACATTGTATCAACATTATCTCATTACAAATCCCAAGATCAAATCATAATAAACTCTGGTGGTGTGTGTACAAATCATGTCGGCGCCTTCCCGCGATCATCATTGGTACCTGAAACACATAACACAGAACGCTGTAAGCATAAAGCTTAGTGAGTTCTCCAAAATACCACTCTAATACATATATTAGCCACTCAAGGCTATAGCTCTGGTGACCCTCTAGTCAGTGTGTCTCAGTGGGACCCTCCAGTCCTAACTCTCTGTGGGCTCTCTAGCTCTAACTCTATGGACCCACTGGTCCTATCTCTGGAAACTCTGAATCATGCATATCACATATCACAATAACACACATAAATAGCATACAAATACACCAGCACATAACTTAGTAGTATACTAGCACATAACTCTGTTACCACTCTAAGTAAGTATAGTGAGAAGACTCACCTCATATGTCTCGGTAAATCTCCGACTCGGTGGAAATATGGTCTAGCCTCCGCCTAATCACACAAAGTAAATACTCTCATAAATATAACTCTCGAGACTAGACCCAACCCTCTCTGGACACAAAGACCCCCATTGTTGACCAAACCTTAAAAGTCAACAAAGTCAACGGTCAGACTTTGACCCGACTCGCCGAGTGCACTTGGGTGATTCGGCGAGTCTACGT